TGCTGCTGCTGCTGCTGCTGCTGCTGGGGGTGGCAGCGGCAGCGCTGGGGGCAGCGCCGTTGCTGCTGCTCGGCGTCTTCTTCTGAGGGGTTTTCTTCTTAGCGGTTTTGCTGAGTGCCGCTGCTGCAGCTGCGGGCGATGCAGCAAGGGGAGCAGCAGGTGCAGCAGCAGCAGCAGCGTTGAGCAGCAGCAAATGGATGTCTCGGCCCTGCACAAAAGCAACGTAGCTGCTGCACGGGCTGTACGTACAGTCCAGCACCGGAGGCTCGTGGGGACTTCTTTCTAAAATGCAAACAGCAGCAGGAGAACATCCGAAGCGGCCGCTGGGGTGGATCCAGGCCTCCTTTGCTGCTGCTGCTGCTGCTGCTGCTGCTGTTGCTGCTGCTGGGGGTGGAGCAGGAGAGGCGGGCTGCGGCTGCTCCCTGGGGCCGCTGCTGCTGGAGCTTGGAGAGCCAGCGGCGGCAGCAGCAGCAGCAGACGCAGCAGCAGGCTGCTGCTGCACAAGGTTCCGTAGTGCCAGAACCTGTGCAGAGAGGCTGGAGGGGCTGTCCTGCTCTGCTGCTGCTGCTGCTGCTGAGTTTGAAGGGGGCAACGAGGTTTGCTGCAGCAGCGGCTGCAGCGCCATAGGAGCATCGCATGCCCAAATACCCTGCAGCAGGAGCACCAACAGCAGCAACAGCAACACAGAGCTGCAGCAGCAGCAGCAGCGAGGGCAGCAGCAGCACTTATTGCGGAAGCAGAACGCACAGCAGCGCGAGCACAAATAAGAGAAGCACCAGCAGCAGTTGCGCTGCGGGTAGCAGCAACAGCACCTGGAGGAGCAGCAACAATAGCTACAGCAACCGTAACAGCGGCAGCAGCAGGAGCAACAGCAGCAGTAACGGCGGAAGCACCAACAGCAGCAGCACTAGTAAGTAAAACAGCAGCAGCAGAAGTAGCGGTAATTAGAGCAGCAGCAACAGCAGCAGCACTAACCGCAGCAGCAGCAATAAGAGCAGCAGCACTGATCGCAGCGGCAGCTCAGCTACAGCAGCACCAGCAGCCACAAAAGTAGTCGTAGCAGCAGCAGCAGCAGCAGTAATGGTAGGAGCAGCAGCAGCAGCAGCGGCAGCGGGTGATACCCTAGCATTGGAGAGCAGCAGCCGCTGCCCCTTTTTGTCCCATCGGAAGCAAATAATGCCTGCTGTTCTTTTGCGCATGCGTTCCTTCTGAAGCTCTTCCTCCAGGGTCAAGTCCACCTTCTTTGCTGCTGCTGCTGCTGCTGTTGCTGCTGTTGTTGCTGCTGGTGGCTTTCCATCCAACGACTTCGCCGCCTCACTTTCTGGCCCAGCAGCAGCAGCAGCTGGTGCTGCTGCTGCTGTTGCTGCGCCCGCTTTAACCTCTCCTGCTGCATCTACTGCTTCCGGTTTTGCTGCTGCTGCTGCTGCCTCGCCGTCAGCAGCAGGAGCAGCAGCAGGAGTGGCAGCAGGAGCAGCAGCAGGTGTGAAGGCTCTGGGCCTCTTTGTGGGCCTTTGGCCCTCTCGACTTTCTAAAGAGGCCTTCTGCTGCGCTGCTTCTGCAGCAGCAGCAGCAGCAGCGGCCTCTTCCAGCGGCGTGGCCCCATTTGCACATTCGGGCTTCTCTCCTGCTGCTGCTGCTGCTTCTGCTGCTGCTGCTGCTGCTGCTGCTGACGGGGGCACTGCGATGTCGTCGGGGTGTACGAGCAGCAAAGCGCCGCCGTTCAGCAGCGGTGGCGCCTGTGTGGGGTTTTGTATGGCCAGGAAAGGCTGCGGCGCAGCAGCAGCAGCAGCTGCTGCTGCTGCTGCTGCAGCTGGTGCTGCTGCTGCTGCAGGCACGGCCTGCGTCCCGTCTACGTTCTGCAGCGCTAGAAAGAGAGGCTCTCTAGGCGCAAGGGCCAAATCCAGCGATATCCTCAGCCTCTTCTTGCTGCTGCTGCTGCCGTTGCTGCTGCTGCCGTTGCTGCTGCTGCCGTTGCTGCTGCTGCTGCTGCTGCCTGCAGCAGCAAGCCGCACAGGGAAGCCGTAGACCCGAGAAGCCCCCGAGTCGAAGTCCCCCAGGAAGCAAAACCAAACAGCAGCTGAAGAGGCCCCGCAGCGCAGCTCCTCCAGTGCGCGCTCCCCCCCTGCAGCAGCAGCAGCAGCAGCAACATGACCGCCAGCAGCAGCGTGTGGAACAGCAGCATCAGGTGCAGCAGCAGCAGCAGCGACGTGAAAGTAGACCCGCTATGGCGGAAGCAAGAAAAGCAGTCGACAGAAAGGACCAGCTGATCGTGGCTGTGGCAGCTGCAGCAGCAGCAAAAATGGCAGCAGCAGCAGAAACAGCAGCAGCAGAAACAGCAGCAGCGGCAGCAGCACACCTGCAAATGCGTATGAGGTATGGGCCCCCGACGACGCCATGGAGGCGGAAAATGTCCAAAAGGAAGCGGAAGAAGCAGCATCCATCGTCCTGACCGCAAACCCTAAACCCTAAACCCTAAACCCTAAACCCTAAACACTAGACCCAGTGGAATTCAGAACGACTGGAAAAGAGCGCCGGGCCGGAGCTCGCCGAGCTGCCTCGTGCTGCACCTTTCGCTGTTGCTGCTGCTGTGGTTGCTGCTGCTGTAGCTACTGCTGTTGCTGCTGTAGCCGCCGTTGCTGCTGCTGTTGCGGCTGTTGTTGTTGCTGCTGCTGCTGCTGCTGGCCCCGCTGCTGCCGGTGCTGCTGACGCGGGTGAGCCTCCCCAGCTTTTCTTGGGGGACGGTGTGGCTCGAGGGGTGCAAGCGCAGCAGCAGCTGCCACTGCTGCAGTTGCTGCTGCTGCTGCTGCCGCTGCTGCGGCTGGCGCTGCTCTTGCTGCTGAGAGCAGCTGCAGCAGCACCTGATGAGAGGCTCAGAAGCAGCAAACCCTAAACCCTAGGCAGACACGAGGTCTAGAGCTCTGCGAGACGTCGTCACCGGCCGCGCAGTCGGCCGCCAAACCCTAGAACCTAGGGTCCCTAAACCCTAAACCCTAAACCCTAGATCAGGTTAACAAGGCCAAACAACGGAAAACAGAAAAACTCAAAGGCGTTTTCTGCGTGCACAACTCTACGGGAAGCGTTTGCTTTAGGAGGCCTGTACCTCCGCGGCTCCTAAACCCTAAACCCTGAACGCTAAACCCTAAGCCCTCGGCAGCGAACCCTAGCACCTTCGGGAGCTATCCACCGGCGCATAAACCCAGAAAAATGAGGGTTTCAAGTTTGTGTAAATCAAGGTTTAGTTCTTCGTTTGTTTTTCCTGTTGTTTGCCCCCTTGCTGCTGATGCTCTGGCTGTACGTACACCCCAGCGCCCGGGGAACGGGAGCACTAGTTCCGATTAAATGCAAATTTAATTTATTCCTCATATTATTTATTTAGTTTTATTTTAATTTCACCCCAAGTGGGCAGTTCAACGCGGCCGGCCGCGGGCTCCAGTGTACGTACACCTCAACTCAACTGAGCAGCTTTGCTCCGAGGCTCCGCCTCCGCTTTTTAAAGTTCTGCGATGTCTTCTACTTTTCTTGCATTTCGAAGCGCCACAATTTGTTTTTCATTAGATTATGGATGTGAATTTAGGCAATTGATAATATGCAACATCGCTGCCGCCGCAGCTGCTGCTCGTAGGCTTGTCTACAACAGCCTACACTTCGCTGCAGCTGCAGCTGCTGCTGCTGCTGCTGCTGCTCGTAGTTCCTAAGTGTGCATATTCAACTTCCCGTGTCTGTTAACAACGCACTTGGCGGTGCCAGTTTTAAATAGGCCAACATAGTCTCTAGGCAGTTGCAGCAGCAGCAGCAGCACGAGCCTCTACAGCTGCGTTGGCTGCTCGCTGCAGTCGCCCAGAGGCCCCCCATTCAAGCCTTTCTTAAGGCTTGAGTCATCGCCGTTGCTGCAGCCGCAGCAGCAGCAGCAGCAGCAGGCCGCTCCTGCTTCGGTCGGGGCGTTGATAGGTTAAAGCAAAAGTCCATTTCTTGTCTTCGGCGGCCTAGCCTTCTGCCCGCAGCCGCAGCGAATCCGCAGCCGCCAAACCACCCTCCCCCCGTGCTGCAGCAGCAGCACCCCGCCGCCCCTGCAGCAGCAGCAGTAGCAGCAGCAGTAGGAGCCGGAGGCGTGCTGTTCACACGGCTGCATGGGCCTGCCCATTAGCGAACGCGGCGTTGTTAGCGTGCGCGTCCGCGCCCTGCGCGCCCCCCCCTCCCCCCCCCCCGCCGCCGCCGCCGCCGCTGCTGCTGCTGCTGCTGCTGCTGCCGGGAGCGTCCTCCTTCTGCATTTTGAGGTGGATTTTCTCGAGCTGCTTCTTGGCCTCGCCCGGGGGGAACTCTGCGGGGTCGTAGAAGTGGGGCGCCTGGCGCAAGAGCCACTCGCCGCGGACCTGCGTGCAGGTCCTGACGAAGGCCTTGGAAGTCAAGACGAACTCGTGGTAAAGCACCCACTCGGGCTTGTGGGCGAGCGTGGAGGAGGGGTGCAGCGCGACGAGCTGGCCGTCCTTGACAGTCATGTAGTGGCCGCTGCGCTGCAGGTGCGCCACCTGCATGAAGAAGCCCGCGAGGATGGCGCGCCGGATTTGGGGGTAGTAGTTTTTGTCGGAGTAGGGGCTCGCGGTGATGGGGATGGCCAGCCGCTCCATCGTGCGCTGCAGCTGCATGCGCACGTTCTTGGCCGCGGCCAGCGAGCGGGGGTTCAGGTAGTTCTCGAAGCAGAACTGCCTCTCGGCCTCTGCGCTCCCCGCGCCGTGCTGGATGTAGGCGTGGAAGACGTTCAGGAGGGTCAGGTGGTCTCCGTCGAGGTGGGCGAACCTGGCCTTGGTGGCGTCGGCCTGCTTCACCTTCTCCTTCGGCCGCAGGAACACCAGCGGCACCGACAGCATTGCTGCGATCGACAGCATTTCTTTGCTGCAGCTGTGCCGCGGGGACTCCACCAGGCACTTCGCCAGCTGCGGGTCCAGCGGGAACTCCGCCATCGCCTCGCCCTCGCTCGTCAGCTCCCCCTCGTTGTCCAGCGCCCCCAGGTAGTTCAGCTGCACCAGCAGCAGCAGCAGCACCAGCAGCAGCAGCAGCACCAGCAGCAGCAGCAGCAGCGGTGGCGGCGTGGGTCTTTCCGGGGTGGGGGTTGCGGTTTGGTGGGGTTTAGCAGCGTAATGGGACTTTAGATAAGGGATACTGGTAAATGGATCAAGCAAAAGGAACCAACAAAAGAACTGACGAAGTGGGAAACTAGCGAGACAAAAACTTCGAGAAAGGAACGGGAAAAGCACGCGAGAAGACAGACTGAGAAGTGACAAATGAAACGAAACACACGGACCAAACAAACGCCAAACAAGCCAAACGAAAGAAACAAAATGAAGGAAACAAAACGAAAGAAACAGAAAGTAAAGTGAGAGGTGACAGAAATGAAATACGAAATGGAATCGACAAAAGGAACAAGTGAAACAAAATGAAGGCATCGAAAACGATTCAAAGAAAATAAAATCAAAAGAAAGTAAATAAAGCGCATGCAAATACAAACATATTTACATAAATGCTCTTGCACACATGAACATACGCGTAAAGACAGAAGCGTCGGGCGAAGAATGTGGCAAAAGCGAACAAAACAAAGAGATAAAAAGTAAATAATAAAAATAAATAAAAGAAATAAATACAAGGATAAATACAAGGATAAAAAATAATTAAAGATTAAATGAAGAAATAAAGCCGCACTTGCTCCAGCGCGCGCATGAGGGTTTCCGGGGCGGGCGGGTCCATGAAGTCGAAATGAACTAAGTCATCAATTCCCAATTTCTTTAAAGTCAAGACAACACTTGCGAGATTTGATCTGAAAACAAAAAAATATAAATTTATTTCGATCTTTTCCTTCAAAATACATTCAAATGGAGTTTCTTTCCTCATGTTTCCACTTTTCTGCACAATTTTGAACATGCAAAGATGCCCGGGACTGCAGCAGCAGCTG